CGGGTCGGGTCGGGTACGGGTACAAAGTTGTCGGGTCGGGTCGGGTACGGGTGGAAAAAAAATTTTCGGGTAGGGTACGGGTACGAAAATGGTACCCGTGCACATCTCTAGTGTATGATTTCTCGCAGAAAATGTCAAATGTTTGTATGATAGGAATACTACTGGACTACCTATGATAAGAGTCTATTTGATCCCACACAAGGATTCCTTCGTTTTCATACGGGAATAGAATAGTATGAGACTCTTGAGGCGTTCCTGCTTGTATTTTGGATTTGGATTAACAGAAATAAATTTAATACTAGCAAAATTTACATATATTCATTATCGTAACTGAATTCATTCAGATTCTTTAATGTTTTTTTCATATCTATTCAATGTTATCTATAATGATCATAATAGTTTCTGGATATGAACTAATCATTTGTACATCATATATCTTCCGTATTTGATACGGCTCTAATATCTTGTTTGATAGACAGCGCAACAGGTTATATCGAGCACATGCAGACATAACAAATCAAATAGTTGACCACTAAATACAAAGTGGATATTAGTGTATACAAAAACACAAATCATTATCTTAAGCAATGATAAATCGCAAGATGTTGAAATTAATAGAATCTAAACGATATGTACGGATATGGTGTAACATACAGATAGCTTCACTACAAATATGGTAGATGCCACCATTATTGACATATTCTTTGCACGTTTATTACGGTATCATTTATCAAAATATCTAGTCTTCCCTTGGCAATAACCGGAGCATAACTTAGTATTTTGCAAAATATGACAGAGAAATAAAAACCATCCAAAACAGGACTGAACCATCCAAAACAGGTTTGAATCCTTTCATGGACTGACATGCAAAGACACCAAAAGCAGAGTAGCGTACAGTTGGACGCTATAAGTTTTAGAGGTGGGACGTTTTAGGATTTAATCACAGAACATAGACGATACTTCTTTGTTGCTACATATGGAAACTTTTTTTCGATTGAATACTGAGAAAAATTTGCAAATTACAAGCATACTATTATTTTTAAGACAAAATATAACAAGTTTTCATATGAGCCGGAAAAAAAATGAGCTAATTTTTTTTTATAGGTAGCACAAAATGATAAGCGAAGCTTTATCTCTCAAACCTTTAGATGACGATAGACACCGCTCGAGTGTATGAAATGTTTGAACCATGCAACAATAAAAACAAAATTTATCAACAATAAGACTTACATATTTTGATAAATAACATTGTGGATCTAATGCACTATTTGTTATTGAGGTAGCTGTCGCTGTACCATTCGATGTTGACTTTAATCCATGATCTGCTGAAACCGTTGTTGTTAAATTTTTATATTTATTTATAACAGAATTATAACGACTAGTCGAGGAATAAGATAATAAATGTTCAATAGCTCCAATACCATTTTTAGTCATAGGCGTAGAAGGAATTGTAGAAGATAAAGCGTCTGAATCACCATTTAAATGAGAGTTGAAACGATGTTTTGTAGTTGGAGATTTTGTTGGACTTTGTAACGACATTTTACTAGATAGGCAATAGTTTTAATTGGATAGACCATTAACATAACAAGCAAAACAATCTAAAATTGAATACGATACTTAAAAGGCAGATATAAATTATATGAATTTCAATGTGATAAAAGAGGATTTTTGAACAATTTTGTCACTTAAACGAACAGAAAACGGATTTCCTAGAACAATAGTTACTACTGCTCAGATTTTAAATCATTAGTAGTCTTTTAAAATACAATAGACGATTTTAATCTTCTTTTCTTTTTTAGTAGTTGTCATAGTTGTAACGACAGTTTTTTTTTTCTATTATTTTCGTTCGAACAATGATGAGATGTATCAGGTTTTTAAAATACTACTGTCTGCGTATATATGTGTGTAATCACGCATTGTTATGAGAAAAAGAGAAAATGATGTATAATATAAAAAAAATAAAGTTTAGTGTTCAGTTACAATAATGACTTTTGAGTGAGAACGAGAGAGAAAGAGGAAGAGAAAGGGAGAGAGAGATTGTATTACTATCATTATGCAATAATAAATGATTAAAATAAAGAGTTCTAATGACTGATTTTTATGTCCGGAGTTTTGTGTTCAAATCCTAATAAAATTGAGAATACATGACAGAATATTAGAAATAAATGAATTAAATTTATCATGCTCGGTTGTATAGTAAAAGAATGAAAAAATGAAAGTGAATTGTCTGTCTATTCAAGCCATTTGAGAATAAAAATTCTACTGAAATAGTTATTTTATAAAACAAAAATTCTCATAAAACTTATTAAACAAGTATTTGTAAATGAACGTACTAAAAAATATTTTTTATTTATCTAGGTAGAAATTGTTTGTTCAACGTATCTCGCAATGTGTTAATACACTAAATATCATGTGTACAAATGTTTTCTTCCTAGTATCTTTTAAAACTAGGCTGTTTATTTAGTTTATTTACGTATTTCTAATTCTTTTAGTCTCTCTGATGTATTTATTCCAGATGTATATACGTGTGTTTGAGAATAGAGATGAGATGTGTGAATGAAAGATAATTTTCCTAATTCTAACTCTCCCAACCGTACAAGGCCATTTTCTCTCTCCCTCTTTCCATCATCAACAAAACGATTAGTTTATTTTATGTATACGTTTTTTAATACGATTACCACTTTTTTATGAATATTTCTCTCTCTCTCTCTCTCAACTGACATAGTTCGATCGATAAAAGCCATTTACAGCAACAATACTTAGACAAGTGTAAAAATATCGTCGGACGGTACCTCGGACTAGTCCACTCGACTCATCGTTTTGGAGGACCTATCTGATTTATTTTAGGATTAAGTTATTTCGTATTTTGAACTACTAAATAAAACTTTTTTACTTTCTTGAGCTTACATTATATCCTTAAGTCATTATTAAGCAAAAAATTCACTAATAGCTTTGAAGATAGCGATGATTAACACCATTGATCACGGAATTATATTTTACTAATTTGAAAAGGTTTAACACTATGATAAAGTCAAATTTAAAAATGTAAATCAAAAGCTTAGAGATGAGAGTATCTGAAAAGCACATACGAAAGAAATATTTTTCTCAAAAAATTGCAATTAGTTCCTTGTGGAAGTAGATAAATATTGAAAAATCCGTCTGAATATCAAAGAGACTTTAGACTACATTTTAGCAAATACATTTAGCTTTTAATTCTCTCCTCTTGAATTAAATTAATGGCATTTTCTTTCGGACACCTCAAACTGAATCGAAAACACATACGTTTGTATCGCGATGCGTGCAAAAATATAATTAAAAACAAAATCGTTTATTCATCTAAACTATTTCTACGTCTGCATCAGGGAAAACAAAATTCTGATTAATTCATTTTGCAAAACTCTACATCTGTACAATTTTTTTCACATAAATACTTATTAAAATCATCTAGTATCACATCTGTTTTTGAAGATGACTCGTACAAATAACTTACTTCTAAATAAATAAATACTTTACAGGCACACGGTTGTGTTTTTGAAGCAAAATTTGTCTAGAATATAGAGCAGATGGAAACTAGCAAAACAATAGACTATATCAGAAGAAGTCTGAACATATGACCAACTACAAAAGAAAATGCCCTCTCATTCTCTTCCGTTTTTGTTCAATAATCATGAACTATCCGTTATACGCGGTCACGCACACACAAACTTTTCTCCATCTCTTCTCTCTCTTAAACATATGATACAACAATCAGAATAAACACAGTTCACATATAAAGACAGAAGAAATATAAATGATTAAAAATGGTGAAATCAGTCAATAGATTTATAGAAGTAATGGACTTATTGTCAATAAACATAAATAAATAAATAATCTAAGAATAAAAAGAGTAAACATCGAATATACTTCTGTAAGCGTTAACTTTATTAAGCGTAAAACTTTATTTTTTCATCTTCTCATTCTATTCGAACTCTGTTAGAGAATTAAATGATGTCAAGCGGACAATTCTCTCGTGTAATAATCGGAGAAGGAATGTGTTTCACTGAATACAAATACCATTCGCCAGTTGAGACAAAAAGACAATTTTTGACAAATGACTTTTCTGTTGTATAGGTGTAGAAAATGAAAAAAAAGAAAAAAATAGCGGAAGTTGTAAATCAGATGATTGTGATCATGATTGTTTATGAAGACTTACTTTATGTTTGAAAGTCAATTGATTCATATCGTTTTCTATTTTCAAAGTCGCTCAATTCACAACCGTAAATCAACTGTTATTTTCATCATCATTTGTAGAAACGTAGAACTAAATGTGTGTTTTAACTTTTTTACAACTTACAAGATGACCATAATAACTATTTCTTATGCTTTTCTTTTCTTCTGTGACAAAATACACGCCAAGTACAGAAAGATAAAGTTAGAAAAATAGCCTTCATAGTTTGTGCAAGCTCCATGAATGCCATCATCTATGATGCATTTTTGTTACAATTCCATCTTTTTCTTGTTCTTTTTGGTAGGTCAAAACTTGTTATTTTGATCAGAACATAAATAATACACTAATTCTGAGGCAGGCTAAATATATTTAATTAAGATCAGGATCAATAAACAAAAATACAAAAGAACTTATGGAAGAAAAATATTGGGGAAAAAACTTTCATTAATTACAAATGGACGCTTTACTGTATACATTAGATTTTTAGCAAATAATTTGGACTTTATTATTATAACTGAAAATTTGATTTGTTAGCCATTTTTTAGCCTAAATACGACTTATGCCAATTTAAGTCGATAATCAATTTGAACTTGTTTTACATTGTTTCAATAAGTTTGGTCATTAATTATATTTTTACTTTCGTATTATTTTTTTAATTGTAATGCTTAATCAAGTGTGTGCGTATGCGTGTACGAAGGCTACAAATGAAAAATTTTCATAGTCAAATCTGCAACTAACATGAAGTATGAACTCTCTTATGTCCTCAAAACCGAAAAAGTACCGCTCAGTTCCCGTCCAATACCCCGTGCGCTATACCAATAGCAAAATCGAAATTATCGCACGGTTACCGCGTTCCTTTCACAGTATACCGTGGATATAACCAGCGGTGGTACCGTCCGGTATTTTGTCATTATGAACACGCAGAACAGGAGTTCAAAACTAATTTCCAACTTTCTTTTTTAATTGTTGAGCACTTGTAAGTGCAGACAGACTTCTGATTGAGAGAAATTTGATTCAAGCTGAAGTTCAAACTTCGACGAGTCTGTATGATCTACGAGAAAAGTTTAATCTGAAAAAAAAGCTTGACATAAGCTAAATCCTGCTACTGCAACACAAGTTGGCTTATATAGTAAACGTGATTAAACAAATCCGAAACAAGAATTTTTACTAAAAGTTTACGAAAGGAGTTAAAAAATTGTCCATCTATCAGTGTCTAACGCTTTAAGTTATCTTGCATCCGCGTGTTTGCCCAGAAAAACAAAAAAAAATAGAATTAATTTAAGACTTCACTCAGCTGTTGCGAACTGTAACAGATCTGTTGACATTCAGATATATCCGAACAACAGACTTAATTCATGTTTTATTTATGTTTTTGACCCCGGTTTGTATATTTTATTATATAAGGTTTTTGTCATGAGTCAGATATTTAATAATAGTGATGATAATAATAATTAATTTTGTATCAATTCGACAGTACTGTTAAACTGACAATAGTTTCAACCGTTATTCTATTTCCACGTATCCGAGACATCTGTTGATTATTAGTTGGAAATGATGGAATATTATCATGTTTATATATCAAATGATGCATTGTTTAGCGAACTAAGAAGCAGAAAAAAGAATATCTTCAAGAGTACAAAATTTTTAGATGTGCTATAAATAGACTGATTGATTTCTACTATAGAAGAAGAACAAACAAAGACGGCATTTTAGTAGAACAGAACAACGTTGATTCCTCATTTAAATCAAAATCAAAATTTGCTCTTTCTTGTGCATACATTATATATACCATTTTAATATTGAATGTAATGTATGATGTATGTATAGACATTCGCCTGTCAGTAATCTCATCCATTTGTACATTTTGAGATAAAATGCAATCTACCTTTTGAAGAATGTTTTCAATAGACAGAGTAAAAAAAAAATCAGATTAAAAACCGTACTTGCATTATACTTTTGTTTTACTTTCTATAACAATAACAAGCGAATTTTAGATGTTATTTCAATTCTCGATATTGGACAAAAATCCAATTCATTGGATTTGATACGTGAAACTAAACGTGTGTTTTAACTTTTTACAATAAGTACAACTTACAAGATAATCACCAAAACTATTTCCTATGCTTTTCTACACGTACGTTCTACATCAAACAAGAAATACATATTTTAGAAGAGAATGCCACAGTCCAATTGTTTCATTGTATGATCTCATTGATATCCATTGCATTTGTTTGTCCCTATCTTAAACAACGATCCACATTTCTTTATATCAGTTCTTCGAAGAATTGATCTGCATAAGCACAGAAAAAATGAGTAACTAAAGAATCACGGTTATTAACATTGGCATCAAAAATTAAAAGTATTGCCATTGAATTAGGTGTTGTGAAGAACTTTTAACGAACGATAGATTCAATATATAGTCGAGGCTTAATAGTGTACTAGAAGCGAAAAAATGAGAACGTGTATATGGAAAAAGTGAGCAGTATTAGCTGGAGCTAAATAACCTACCTTTTGCTTAAAAACGGTTACTTCCTCAATCGTTTGCCGTTATCAGCAATCGTAAGTCCAATACTGTAATACCGATAGTCTGTCTACTTACGAGAGACCTTTTCCGACTGTCTAATCGCTTTCTGGTCGAAACCTAGTGGGTTACAGGTTATTGATCACGCTGATTCAGAGTATCCATATGGGACATGCAGCTAGGTCTTCGTAGAGCTGTTTTCTTGAAAACCAGTTTCTAGAAACCTCGAAAAGTCCCTAAAACTTTCTCTTAACAGATCACGATTGTAGCCCACGAAAGTCTGATTAAAATGAGATATCTCTCACCTCTACATGACCTTCTTTTGCAAAGTTATAGAATTTACAAGAAAAGCCCTAAATGTTCATTATCAGCTCAAAGCTACAGAAATCAGAAGAAATTAATTTAGGAAAGTTTTTCTGAAATTTGTGGTTTGTACAGCTAATAGTTTTGACAAATAATTTGACTCACAGTGTGGCTCAATCGTTTTTCTCGAATCAATATAGATTGATCTTCTGATAGAAAAACTTAGTGGCGTCGTTTGAATGGAAGACTAATTGATATTGCGAGAAGACATACGTTTACCTATGGTAAAACTCTCACTATTGGGAGAGTGTTTGAATAAAATGTTTAATAAAAGTGTTTGAATATAAGATTAAAAAGAAAATGTTCAGTTTATTTATAAAGACAAAAGAAAAATGAAAATAATTAGAAAATAAAGTCACAAATATAGTATATACAATGACAATACACTCAAAAACATTTGATATAAATCTTAAGAAAAACATACAGAAGTAAGTTGAGCAAAAAAAGTATAAATATGGAAAATAGATGGAACATGCACAAAAATTTTCTATAAATAAAAAAACAAAAGTATTTTTCATTTCATTCATTCTTGTTTATCTGGGATAACGTCTTGAGAAACATCGGTTACATCTTTTGATTGTTTTTCATTCGTTTCATTTCTTTTCACTTCTTTTTCATTTTCATTTTCTGTATTTTCTTTTTTGACCGACTGTTGTGGCTGTTTGTCACTGTCTTTTGCCGGACTTACACGAGCACTTTTCTTAGTTTGCTTTTGTTTCGGCGGTTCTCTATATAACTTCTCAATATCATCATGATATTTTAGCTCAATGGCTTTACGTTTTAATTTTAATGCATCAGTAACTAAACCAGTTTCCGGTGACCAAGGATCAGCGACTACTTTTACACGCTGAGGTGTTTCATAACGTTCAATACCGCCTAAATAAAATAGATTTATAATGAAAATTGACTATACGATTTTGACTATCGATTTTGATCAGAAAAGGGTAAGATACTTTAATAAAGTTTCTGGCAAAGATAAGAAAGTTATATCGTTACCTTTTCTACATGCTTCTTGTATATCTTTTAATACTTGATTACCAAAGTCTTCATCGTCAATTAATTTTTGCCATTCTTTATTATCAAAATGTTTTTCAGTATAAGACTAGAATGCAAATCAAGATAGTAATAACGTATGGGTCATAAAGAATGATACACTTTTGTTCTCTTTTTCTCATCAAGTTTAAAATAGTGGTAGTAGTGTAAAATTTCTCTCAAAAGGTGCAGAATTTTGTCTACTTTCAAAATATGAAAGAGCCGCAAAATAATATATCATAGTGGAATGACAGTAATCAAAATATTGAAAACTCCAAGATATGATCGCTGTTCCCAAAAATATTCAGACACTTTGACAAAAACGATATTAACTCCGTCAGTACTTATCATAGGACGATTCTGAGTAACGTGCAAAAACTAGACAAAATTTTGCGTTTGATGAGCCCAAATCAAAATCTCAGAACGTTCAAGAAACTGTTAAAAAATTTAAAACGAAAAACATTATTTTCACTTTTCGTCTTTTTCGCATCTATATTCACTACCCACTTGGGTTTTTAATTTTTTACTCGAAATTGGAACTGATTTTTATTAAAAGTACTTAAGTCTTGTACAATTTTTCATACTGCATCTTTCGAAACTGAAAGAAAGTTTTGAAATGTCGTCTGTCTTAAGTAATCGACCCCTCGATACAAAATTCTCTGAAAACAGCGCCATCCTCATATTTCGAGTTTTCTATCGATGCAGAAAATAGTTAGAAAAAGCGAAAAATGTAAGATGATTTCAGATGGCGCAGTCATGTCTGGAAAACTTTCCAGTATTCTGATTATTGCGCTTAAACTTTGATATATTATATTTTGTGGCACTTACATATTTTGAAACTAAACAAAATTCTGTACGTTTTAAGCCCTGGACGAAATTTTTACACTACTTTTTACTTGATAGGAAGAAGAGAATAAAAGTGTGTCATTCTTTATGGCCCATCCGTTATTTTGCGTTTTGGCTTCTTACAAATACATACAGCTATATTTCTTTGATTTGGTGATATAAGGAGAACAGTGTATTCTGCTGATGAACTAGCACATAGACAACAATTTTCAACAATTGGAACTTTTCCAATAACCATTTCTACTTTTGTTAACGAAACGTATTCACCGCCTCGTAATTTGATCAAATCTTTTTTACGATCTAAATAACAATTCTTTCAGTTAAAGTTTAACTTTCACGTTGTTCTTTAATTAATACTTACCAATAATTTTCACTGTACCATCGGGAAATATTTCACCAATGTCTCCTGTTGAAAAATATCTTGTACCATTAATTTCTTTAAAATTCACATTCTCTTTAGCTGCTTCGGCAAAATATCCAGCAGCTACCATTTTACCACCAATCAAAATTTCACCACGAGGATGTGGCTTATCTGTATTACGATATTGCCCTATAATAAAATAACACCATTTAACTTTCAACTTTGTTCGTTGAAAATACATAAATGAACAAATGAAAATAGAACTTGTATAACTTCAATGACTAGCATTATTATAATCGTTCTACATAGCTTAGAATTTACCCTTCCAGAGAGAATTTGATTTTCTATAAATAAAACTGAATTCACATTGCTGCGAATTCATTTCGATATGCAATGGATGATACGAATGCGTATTGGTTGGTGTATAGGATGTGTTTGCGAATTCTCTATATTTTGCTGCTTTAATACTTATGACTGTTTGGCACTGTGAAACTTTACCAGATAGACGGCTTGTATGCATGTGTGTCGTGTCGGGGATGAGCAGACGGATGGATGAGAGTGAGTTGCGAGGCAATATAACCTATATGGTGATCTATACTAGTCAAAAAATAGTAGAGAAGTCGCAATCGATCCTTCCTGACCTGCATGGTGACCTGAACTAGTGAGAAAAGAGATACACATTGCAACTCTATAGCCAGCACGAAGATATGTTGCATAACGAAAAAGCAAAAATAATTCATTTCGCTGAGAATGCCAATATTCCATGATCTCGAATCGTGCAACATCGAAAGTGCACTGAAGGAAGAAGATAAAAGAACTTTCGCAAATCAAATAAATAATCAAGAAAAAAAAGTCAAATTCTTCAGTTTGGAAATCCCTAAATCATAGTCTTGATATTAAATACCAGTCGGAAGGCGTGAAATAAAAGAAACAATTATAAGAGTGGGACATTCAAATACACCCTTCACTAAGAACAGTTACGTTTCAAGTCAGATAAAACCATGTTCAACACAAGATATCTTGTGTGAAAACAGATGTCTTGTTTATTAGTTCAGGCCTATCTTTAGCCAACAGAGAACAACACTGCAATAGTGGTATTATAATGCTTCTTTTATAATTTCATTGAAATTTCTGAAACCTACGAATCTGTAAAACCCAAGCTCTAGAAAATCTTGTATTCGATTAGAAACTGTTCGCAAACAACTCCGTCGATATCGAACAATTATTTCTGGAAAAACAACACCCCTGGTAGCATCCCAGGCCCTCAAAACCGAAAAAGTACTGTACAGTAACCGCGATCTCCGTTCGGTTTACCGCCAGTTACTGTGCGGTATTTTTCTGTACCGCGATCTAATAACTTACCGTCGGTTAACCGTGCGGTATGCCCAGCGGTACGGTTAAGCGACGGTATTTTATTGAACCGCTGGTAACCGGCGGTATTTTAGAAAAAAGCTTGACATGGAACTTTACAAAATTTTTCGACAAAATGTACTCCATTTACAGAAGACCTCTGACGTTCCTTTGCGCCATTTTTCTATCGATGTTGCGGCTTGTAAGTGTTGTAAAGTGGTCAGAAACGTCTTGTTTTTTTCCAAAAATAGTTGTTCCATATGATCGAGCTGTTTGCAAAAAATTCCCAATCGAATCCACCGACCTAGTTTTGAAGTTTCGGTCGTATTGTAAATCACTTTTTAGAAATTTCGATGAAATTATCGTACATAACACTTCTGACTAAAAAACTATTCCAGTTATTCAGACCTCTTTTCGTGTTTCTTCTATCTACCGCGTCGAACAGAAGAATAAAACATACAAAACGACTTAAACTTTTGGCATTCACTTTACAATGATACACTATAACCGATTCACTAGAACTTAAAAAGTGCCGACCATCAATTAAACGCAGAAATTAATTATCATACCTTCATCCCAATTTTGTAGTCTCATTTCACAACAGACAAGAGGATAACCGGCTCTTCCAACACTGGTATCAAGTTGATCAGCTATACTGCCACTAGCGCAAGTTTCAGTAAGTCCGTATCCTTGAAATAACGTTACGCAGAGTGCAGCTTGAACAAAACGTTGCGTATCTTCGCTCAGAACAGCACCACCACAAAGCATTGTTTTAACACGACCACCTAACACCGCTTGATTAAATTTTTGAAATATTAGACTAGAAACAAAAAAAATAGTAAGTTCAGTAGAACAACAATATCTTCAATACAGAAGCTGATGAAGCTTTTGGTGTGTCGTTCATGGAAAGTAAGGTGCTTCGTAATCGAGATCGCTGCATGACTGCTCAAACAAGATACAAAGTATATATTATGAAACGAAAGATGATGTATTTGAGAATCCTTTATACACAAGAATTTTAGCCTATTTAATAATGAAATAAGTATAAAACCTCAAATTTTTTTAGCATAAAAATACAGACGTACTCAAGTCCACTTTTTTATTGCATGTCGGGACGCGAGTTTGTTTAAAAATTAGCGGAAGGAACGCGTAACGCGTTCTCTGTAAGAGTCGCGAAATAAGATGCAGTTTTTGACGATCGCTATTTTTTCGTGCTCATACAAAAATCAATGACTCTCAAGTATTTTACTATATATGCAAAACGCGTAACTCTGCTACTGGAATCTCTGTGCATTACCGTTTTTTCTTTTTTCGTCTATCCTATAATGTTCGAAAAGAATATTGTAGAATCCTGGAAAGTGTCTTGTTTTGTAGAATGAAGGGTGTTCTTAAAAATCCACCACTAGCTCAGTTCAAAATAATTGACGCTTTTATGCTATACTTAAAATACGAAGAGCCCCCAAAACATTGTCGTTTGTTTTTAGGACTTTTAGTATTTCGATTGTAACCGAAAAGTCATCAATTATTTCGAATTGAGCTAGTAGTGGATTTTTAAGAACGCACTTCATTCTACAAAACAAGACACTTTCCAGGATTCTACAATATTCTTTCCGAATATTATAGGATAGACGAAAAGAGAAAAAACGGTAACGCACACAGATTCCGGTAGCAGAGTTACGCGTTTTGCATGTGTAGTTATATTTATTCGCGTTTTTTCCGTCTAATATCAGTAAATGAGCTTTTACCGCGAACGCAGACGAATGGCGTACGTGTGACGCGACTGCGCAAGACTATATATTAGTCATGTCATAAGCTATTATTAAGATGTGATAAGATTTTGAAAATTTTTCGGAAAATCAGAAAGAGTTATATACCAGGCGCGTAAGCAAAACAAAACGGTGGATAGGCTGTGCACGGGAGACGCAACGCGACGCTGTATCATATCGCGATTGTAAGAGAAAAATACGATCGCGACGTGACAATTTTTTCTTACAGTGATCGCGCTCGGTTCGCGAAGTCGCAGCGCGATTGCTAAAAAGTCGCTACGCGATCGTGAATTACAAATTTTTTGTAAAATAAGACTTAGTCGCGAACGTCCTGCGACAATAGCGACTTCTTAGCGATCACGGTGTGAGTTGCACGATTTTAGCGCGATCGCGTCGCTAATCAAGCAAGAAAGTGGACTTGGGTAGTCCACTGAAGTCTAACATAGATAATTAAACTTACTTGTCTAAATGTGGACTCTCCAAGCCTTCTTCCAGTCGTTTAACTTTAATTTTGTAGGATAAATGAAACAAATGTCGTTGAAAGAAACCGGCGTGATTGATTTTTTCATTCACTGTTTTATGAATACGATCGAGAATAGTCTAAAATTAATAAGAGTAGATATAGAGAGAGAATGGTTAATGAACAGAGATAATGCAAAAGACTTACCGGTACACAAGACATTAAATGGGGTCTCAGTGCTTGTAAATCACCTTTTTGTCCACGTTTAATGGCTGTGGATTGATCAGTTAGAGTTTGAGGCGAAGAATAACCGCATTTTAAACCAGCGTAAAACATTAATATTTCTAAATACAGAGAAAAAAAAAAGCACGATTAATCGAAGACTAGAGTATAATGCCTTTATATCTAACTGTCTCTATCATCTTAACATCTTTGGAAGGTGATGAAGGTAAAATTCAAATCCTATCAATAACTAATTAGTATACTTCGCTATACAATAGCATTAACTGATAAAAAAATGGCAAAAAGAGAAAAAAATTGCTTACCGCAACACAATTCCAGGATATGAGCTAGCGGCAAATAAGCAATATAAATATGTGTTTCTAAATCAACGTGCGGAAATACGCGTTCTTTTTGACCAGCCATTGCAGCAATAACATTTTCATGAGTAATTAATACACCTAAATAGCATACTAAAAACATTATCGCCTGAAACTAGACAAAACTTTATTATGTTTACCTTTTGGTGTTCCTGTACTTCCGCTTGTATACATGATCACAGCCAGATCACTAGGTTTTGGACGTGCATTTAATATCGAATCATCTAGAATGAGAAATTGAAGATGAAAAAAGAATAAAGAAGATATAATAGTAACATACCGATTATTGCTTGTTGTCCTTTTTCTTCTAATTGTTGTAAACGATAAAATTCGATATTATTTTTATTAGTTGGATTAGCTTGTTTCGGACTGGGAAAATAGATGACATGGCGAACCTTGGGTGTCTTTTCCAACGTTTTCTACAAAACAAATAAAATACAAGAACACAGTTAATTCACTATTTATTGATAATATACTTCATTTAGTCTGTTAGATCGATGCATTTTACAATAAAGGAAACAGTAAAAGTTTATTTTATTACTTACTTCTAATTTTGGAATAAGTTCTGCTGATGTAACAATAATCTGAACTTCCGATTCTGTAATACCATGTCTGACTGCATCGTCACCAAGTGTCGAATACAGAGTAACAACTATGAAGAAAAACAAACAATTAAACAATATTGGTATTTATTTAATAGTTTGTACAATAATACCAGTGATTCCATGTCTGAATGCAGCAAATGCTGTTAATAACCATTCGGCTCTTGTTTCAGCATATAATAAAATTTTATCACCTTGTCTCACACCCAATGATAATAAACCTTTTCCAATGGCTATGATACGTTCATAAGCTTCTTTATACGTCGAAAATTTATATTCACCAAGAATGTACTGAAGTAAACAACAGAGAATAACAATAAGTATCACAAAAGTATTTGTCACATGTAATGATTTCTTTTGATTATTTCTAGAGTAACTTAATGCTTTAGATTATACCACACACATATTGAGCAATGTCTTTGTAATTGAACTGACAGTGTCTTACATACTTTTTTGAATATTTTTCCATTCGGTTGTTTTTCATCTTCAACACTTAGTATTTCTCTCACTCCCATTGTTTCTTTATCTGGAAAACGTTTAGCGGTTCTAAAAAAACACACAGATAAAATATATTTTTGTTTCGAAAATCATCAATAATTGACTTACGAATCCGGAATATCGGCTAATGTACGGACACCTTCTTCAGGCGTAGTTATTAATCCGTCTATTACTTCAACAGCACGATAAGGACTACCAGGATCATTCTCATCAACTAATTTAGCCTAAAATAAGTGATTAATAAATATATTATTTTAACAATGTGTACTGAGTACTTACTCTTAGTCGCTTTTGTTTCGTCGCTCGATCATCATCTTTTCCGAATGTCATAATTAAATGCCAAATAGTGGGAATTTGCACAAAAAATAATGCAATCAAATAAACTAATGTGGTCTTGATTATAGTCACAAGAAAACGTTTAAATACGGTATTAAATGCTGATTCAAGAATACGAGAGGCGTTAGGCATCCTAAAACACACAAATACAAATTAAACAATATAATTGATCAAAATTTAATCTAGTATCAGTTAAAATTACCAGATCTAAGAAAAACCTCTGAAATAATCTAAAATTTTAAGATTAATCCCTTAATGACTATTTAAATATATACCAAATACTCTTCCAAGCGCAGGCTTTTCCAGTTGTTCTCAGGGATGGGAGAGGCTAAAAAATTTTGCTTCACAGAAAGTGGCTAGCAAAAAACAGTTTTCAAAATTTTTGACAGAAAATTGCTGTTGGAAAAACGTCAAACATTTTGCCAGAAAGCTCAAACATTTTTTCGAAGAAGGACCAAAACCTTCTAGCCCCCTCTTCCCCCCGATCGAAAACCCTGTTCAAGCGCCTGGGACATTTTAACTCAATGTTGCTCCTTTGTATGCACTTCACCAGGTCTAATTACACATATTTATTTCCGTGTTTGCAAGAAATTTTTCAAAAAAAATATTTCCTGTCATGCTAGATTACTTACCATTATGGATGAAATCATTATCGAATATGTATAATGAGTAAATTTACACTAAAAAAGATCTATGTTCTCAACTATTTTTCAATATAATATGCGTAATTTTTGTCAAAAAGTAGAGTGGCAAAGTTCATATTCAGTAAGCAGATAGAAGAAAAGATAAGTGGGCAATAAAGAACTGATAACAATTGCTAGGTTTTTTTTTCTTTATAAATATTTAAACAAATAATAGACATAAAGGTATAAAAAAAAAGAGACAAATCTCATCAGTATTATTATTTAAAAATAAAACGTCTCAATGACAAGGTTGTTATCTATTTGTTACTTACTTTTCAGATCTTTTTTGTTGTTGTTTTGTAGAATTATTTCTTGGATATTTATGTCAAAAAATGGTATAAATAATTAAATAAATAAACAAAAAAAAAGAAGTATATATTTTGATTTTTATACCATTAAATATGTGCGTATTTATAAATAGATACAATAATAGACATAGCCTAAAACGAGAAAAATACATTTATTTTGAATATAGTTGGAATTTGTATTTTAGAATTAATTTATTTTTTCGTTGCACATGCATAAATACGTTTTGTGTTCTTTTATCATCAGAAAAAAAGGGATTTTGTTTTTCTGGATTTAAGCCAGAACCGCACATCTTCATTGTAAGAGAAAAATGAGAGAGAAGAGAGAACAAAAATCGTATTATTCAGTTATTTTTTTTTTCTTGCTTACAATAATTGTTGTTGTACATAAGATCTCATCTACATTTCTTTTTCTCGTTATTTCTTTCAGCTGTTATTCCTTCTACACTTATCCACTGATTAGAAATTCTTGTAGGATAGAGAGTATAGTATGATGATGTATCAACTATGCATAAAAACAAAATAAAATAGCACGAAATCAGTAAGGAGGTGTGCGATGATGAAAATGAGGTCAATATCGATGATAGAGAAAAAAAAAAGAAGATTATTTTTTGATTGTCCATATAAAGAAGAAAAAATAATGTGATAGATATATGAAATGTGTAAGTTTTCCTGAAAAATCAATCAATCGACTAAATGCAAATAAAGAAAGACAAACTACACAGCATCTTTTTCTGCACTAGATTCTACTTTTTCATCTTTGACCTGAAATTCAAAAATAATGTGATAGATATATAAAATGGAGATAATCGTACGTACCACTTAAAATCACTTAAAACATAACAGTAATTCGACGCTAATTTCATGTATCTTATTTAGATATTATGTCTAAAGTTTTAGTTGATTCAAGTTTGATTCTGTATCTTCAAATTATTTATGTTCTTCAGCGTGTTCATTTTAATTAAAATAGCTATCCATTGATTTAAGATATATTTATACTGAGATCCATTTGTATTTTTATAAAAACGAACTAAATCAACTATGAAAATCTTTCAACTTCAAATCATTAATCTGTAGTTTTTCTCTATTTGCCACAGAGAAAACTTAAAAAAAAAATTACGTATTAAGTCATATGAAAAAATGTTACATCGCGTTTTTCATGTGAGATTTACTCCGCTACTTAGTTTTACGGTAACTGTTTATATGGTTGATAAGCAGTTTTTTGAGAATCACAACGTTCCCTGTATCTAGAAATAATGATGTTCTTTTAGTTATTATATATTCTCAAGTTATCATTGTTCTTCGGACTTTTTTATTATTATTGCTCTCTAATACTCTCTCGAAATAGTATTTACTATTATAAGATACGAACAACTCTAAGTTCAAGCTGATAGTCTTCCTTTTATGTGAGACTACCAGATTTACAAGTCTACAACATTGAGTTCTAACTTTGACCTGGTAGGAAAGAGATAAAACTTTAAAAGTTTTTTTTCAGTAGTTTCTGTTACTCTTCTGTGTATATTCTCTACTATAGAATAAAATGGTGATTAAGTCAAACGCAAGTTATAAGAATGTCTTTGCGAAGTCTCTGTCTGAAGGAATCGTATCAGTGTTTCATCTATCATCTTAACAAACCATTAGCAGTTAGTTTTAAGATACTTAAATTTTTTTGAAGAATTCCTATGAGATTCCGCACAAATTGTCGTGTTTAAAGATAAGGGTAAATCATACAGCTTCCATTTCTCATTAACGCAAGGAATAAATAGATTTGGTAAAAATTATTAGCACTCAGCGTAATAAACCACATAAACATAAACTATATTTCTACAAAGGATTCTACCGATTCTCAAAATACCATTTAGTGACCATGAAATCAATAGATTATGGTAGAGTTTTAGACGCACATTTCTATATATTTTTGCAGTCTCATATTTCTATGTAAAAGACAGAATCTATTTCGTCTAGCTTCCTGATTTGAGTAGTTTTGTATAGTTTAATAGACAATAGTGTGACAGAGTGTGATAACATCTTATTGAAATGAAGAATTTTTCTACTATGGAAAAAAAATGAAGCTACATACGCATAAAAATCATGCATCCACACTGTCATGAGGCTTTATGATTCTTGCATTACAGACGGACTTTGGTGGAGCACTGTAAAATTACTGCAGGTTTAAAGAATACGGCGTTCCACATTTTTATGAAAATTGAGACGTCGAATATGTATTTAAGAGTTCGGTACGGAGTCCAAATGGATGACTGATAGATTCCATTCTAATTCCTATAGTTGTAACGGAAATTTTATAGTTCTGTCACCCGTTATAGCACTTTTTTCGTTCTCGTAAGTGTTTGGTTGCACAAAAAAGTAAAGACTACAGATTATAGATGTGCGGAAGTAGGACTAAAAAAAGTTGATTCTAGACTTAGAATCAAGTACGAGAGAAAAATAGTCGTTCATTAGAATGAAAACGGAAACAACAAAAATAATATGTCCGCAGGACAAGAACACGTACAAGTTACAATCAAAAAGTAAATGGCTGTCAATTTTACATTTCTATTTTCATGAAATTGAAAAAGATTAGTTAATACCGACAATCAAATTACTTAAATATGTTGTTATAACATCAGTCTTAATTTCTGAAAGAAAATGACACCTACGATATTTTAATTTGACGTTCTTAGGTCAAATGCATTCTATATATATAGTTTTATTTTAAAAATAAATACAAGCATGATATAATATGTCAAAAATTTTTCGTTTCTTAATAAAGGAAGAAGAAGAAATATTCTCTTACGTATTCCATTAATTCAGAAAAATAGTAGTACTATTCATTCATAATAGCTACAACCATTTTTTTTTCTTTTCTTTTTGATTTACGTATCTATACGCGTGTGTTTAGCTCAGTGACGTCATCTAAATATTACAAATCGAAACTATGCACTCCACTAACAATTGAAACCACAACTTTTTACAATAAGAAAACTAAATTCGAAGTAATATGAGACCTAGCACCTGTTAATGAATGAGTCAGCTGTGAATTTTCTCGCAAATCATTTTTTTAACCTACATAATATTGGTTTGTTCTCAATGAATGAAAAAATACTAAACAATAAAAATTGGAAGAACGTTGATGATTATGAAAGCTAACCGAAAAGCAGGAGGAGTGTACATATCTCCAGAGTCCTCTTCTACGGGACTGTGATTATCGAGAATCTTTGTTTGTGTGAAGTTTTACTGTCAAATCAAAAGGAATGAACTAAACAAGCGCAAAATAACAAGTTAAAAGTCTATTCACAGATTAGAACAGCGTTCATTTGTGTTCGAAAACGGATTATGCTAGTATATAATCTGACCTTTATTCTATCTATAACAAAGTGACTAATTACGCGAATTACGTAATTGTTCTCAAATATAGCAATAAATATTTTTGATTTTGGATCTGTGGTGATAGTTTAAACGTTCCAGTTGCAAGCTTGGATGTTTCAGCCAAATACCAAATGTAAATATATGTTTCATTACAAACAACAATATGATCCTTTTCCAGATCAAGCAATGAAGAACAGAGAGATATTATTTCATTAGTTCCCAGATAAGAGACGTCTTACAATATCTTATAAAATCTTAGGAAAAATCATAGAAACGTATTCATCTTGTAAAATCTTATAAAAATCATACAAGAATCTTACGAAATCTGATGAAATCTTACTATAAGATCTTACATCAAGAATTAGTTTCTATGTTTCTTACAGAATCTTACCAAATCGTACAAGAATCTTATAAGATCTTACAGTAAGGTTCTTTGACCTGGGAGGCTCTAGAGGGGATCTGTGGAGCAGAACCAGAGACATAATCTTGTAAGATCCGATGAATTATTATATAATCTCATGAAATCTTCCAATATCTTGGCACTGCTTTGCACGGTCATACAACATCTTATCACAAGGTCTTGCAAGATCTTACCGAATTTTGTTGAAGGAAAAATCTTGCAAAATCTTATAAGACTCTTGAACCAACATTCTAATGAAATCTTGTGAGATCTTGTGATATGATCTTACGAGATCTTGTACGAGATCAAATTTCTCCGTACTGGGTTGAGTAAATATTTAATAGTTCATAATATCCGTTTTTAGATGTTTATAATTTC